TGTGCAGCCGGGTGAGAGGTCACAATGCATCTAACCATAATGCATTGCGTCAGGATCAGAATGTGTTGCTTTAAGCAAGCGCTGTAAGCAAGTCGAACGCACCCAATGACTGGACTGGAGAAACAAACTGAAACGCGGACTTAATACAGAGGACTGAAAACAACAAGAACAGCTGATCACATGGGGATCCCACACGAGGTTAACGAGGGGGCGTGGCACACGGAAGGAGCGGACGATCGGGGCAGGACAGGGGTAATGTTAAGGATGATAAGATCTTTATTGTTTTGGAAGCCATTAAGAAAAAAATGCTCTTCTTGTTTCATCCTGTTAATTTTGTGTTTAAATGCTAAAAAAAGAAAAAAAAAGAAAACTTTATTTAGGTGTCATTTTGGGGGGCCAGGAACAAATTAATTGGTTTTCCATTATTTCTTATGGGAAAAATTTGATTAGAACTCGAACTTTTTAGGATTCGATCCAGAATCAAGAACGGATTAAGTTAGAGAACCGAGGTACCACTGTAGCTGGATGAGTGTTTCAGTCAAGGAAACAAACCAGTCAAAGCACAAGAAGAACTGAACTATTTAGCCAAGCACAGGGGAGTCTTTCAGTTTAAAGTAGCTCATAAAATTAGGAGTAGCTCAATGTGTCCTCTCTGGCATGGATTATCTGGCCACCCTACACCAAACCTATATCCAGAAATAATGTCTGTACAGTGTAGTTTCACTTATCAGAACCAATATAGTTATGTGTCATTTAACAATGGGGATTCATTCTGGGGAAATGCATCGTTATGGCTTAAGGTTACCCCCAACGCCTTCAATGTAGCAACGCTATCAAGACCAGGGTTAGCAGATGAAGAAACACAAGTGGTAGGTCAAGGAGGAATTTTCAGTATGCACTATATGCGATATAGCGCACTAGGGCTGGGTACCGCCACTGATTTCCCAATTCAATTCAATTCCGATTCACAAGGTACCGAGTTGATTTGATTATTGATTCCATTCGATTTGATTCACTATCGATCATGATGCTGAAAAGTTAGCAATCTGCGTAAATTTGGCATACCATAATGTTCATTAAATTCGGTTAGCGGAGCATGGCAGGTGCTACTGTTATGGTATATCATGGAGGCGATAAGCACTCAAGTAGAAAGGGGCAGATCAGCAGCCACAACATCTTTTAAAAGGGGAGATATTGTGGATAAACAAGGTGGAAGTAAACGTCCTGGAGGATGGGCTCCCCCTTTGAGTCTGGTCCCTCCCAAGGTTTCTTCCTTCTGGGGTTTCTTCCTTCTG